AAAGTAATAAAAAAAAAATAAAATAAATAAAAAACAAAAACCAAAAACAAAAAACAAAAAAAAAAAAAAACAAATAAAAATAAAACCAAAAACAAAAACAAAAAAAAAAAAAAAAACTAAACAAAATGTTGAATGAGCAGCAAGAATGAATACTTCTATAAATATTTTTTAAAAAAAAAATCAATGGAAAAAATGCTACTGGCGATAAGAACACTTCAAGAAACAAATGATGAGCAGTATTCGATCTGAGTGATACTAAAAAAAAAGAAAAAAAAACAGCTAACGAATATATTCCACTATAATTTAAATTTTGTTCTAAAATGAAAAGGATGGTGGAAAATTTTTTGAAACCAAAACATTTCAATGATTTTTGCATAACTTCACATAACTTCATCCTTTGTAACATATTTTACAAGAAAAGAAAAGAAACTAGCAGAGAATGCATGCACTGAAATAAATAATACAACATTTGTCTAATTTTCCTAAAATTTTTTTCTTTTTTAATCTAAGGCAACTTCTTGCATGGTTTGTGCGGTGCTGCTACCACTGACAATTGCGCTAATATTATCCATCTGTGATCGTGACGAAACTACTGCTATGTCATCACTATTTTCATTTTTTTTAATGCTACTTGTCGCATCTTCCAATATCTTATTATTGTTAATGCTATTTTCCAATTCGTCATTTCCTTCATTAACTTCCGACGATGTTGAAATACCTCTGAGTTGTATAAATATTATTCCATTCAATATATTTAATATTTCTAGTACACTATGTAATGACGGACGATGAATCTGAAAACAAAGATTTTAAATAAAATTTAGCTTAATTTAATTTCAACCAAACTAAACTAATCCTACTTGACCTATATTATTCCGTAATAATCACTCCAACTTTTATAATGAAAAATACCTTTCAAAACGCACGAAATCTAGTTTAAATCTCGGCAATCACGAATCCAATAACCATTTAACAACCACACTTCACTCATATACCTTACGCACTCATTTCTTCTGTCAAAATCCATCCATTCATCTTAATCTCCCGAAATCTTCCAAGTATAATCGAGCAATTCCATATGTCAAATTTTAATTGAAAAAGCCTTCAGAGAGACAAACCTCAACGGGAAGAAGCTGTCCAATGTTGTTAGAACCTTGCCGATTAGCTTCATTGATACGTTTTTGGAAAGTAACAGCCTGTTGCGTTAAATGTTTCAAACATTCACTGCTCTCTTTGGTCTTTTCATGATCATTGCCAAAGGTTTTTGAATAAATTGTGAATGTTTCCTAAAAATTTTTAATTTGCATTATTTTTAAAAATAAAAATTGCTTCCTTTAATAGAAATCAAATAAATTTTTTGCTGAAAAAAATTGAAAATCAAGCGCTCAAATTTTCCTGAGATGATAAACTTTGTTTCCAAGATTTTATGCGAACTGTTAAGAAAACTCTAACAATTATGAACCATCAATTTAATTGCAATGTTGCAATAAGAAAGGAAAAAATTGAAATATTTATTCAACTGAGTATTTCCATAAACATACCCTTTCCATTTGTAGGGCAGTGCGGAAATCGCCACGGCATGAATAAGTCCTTGCTAGCAAATGATATATAAGCGCTGTCTTCAAAGTTTGTGGTTCCATGTAAGTTTGGTGCAATTTCAGGGCATTTTGTAGAAATTTCAATGCATCATCGAATTCTTGCACGGCATACAGTATTACACCAATGTTACCATCTATTTCGGCCATGAATGGATGATTTTCTCCTTCAAAAGAACACGGATGTCAGTAATTTTGAACATTTATCAAACTCATCAAATGCAAGAAGAACGCTCACTAAATTCATTTAGTAAAAAAAATATTAAGTATATGTTAATTAAAATAAGAGAAACTTCACTTCAAAGTTTCCTGTGATCTTCAGATCATGCTAACTTTACAATTTCAGTTGACATTTTTTAAAATAGTTCATTTATTCATGCATTTATAGTTGTGCATGATGATTTAATAATATAAAGTTAATGTGAGCAGTACAAGATGAACGAAAAATATGCATTCAGTCAAACATGAAGGAAATCTCAAATAATTATACCATGAATAAGCAATAATAGGTAACGCGCTCGATAGAGTAATTTCAGTGCAGCAGCAATATGAAGATTTGCAAATGAGAAATGAGCGAGATTCAACTAAAATAAGAAAATGTTCAAATTATAAAATCCAATTTAGCAATTGGAAAAAAAAATTGACTATATATGAATTTATCAGCTTATATTTGCAGAGATATAATTGAAATGAGATATTAAAGTGTATTGAATAAAAAGTCATAGTTTTGATGTATAGATCAAAATACTTCCAGTGTTGACTGAAAACGTATATATATATATATATATATATAGTAC